GTTCATAACCAATAAGCTAGTAGTTTGACTCTAATTAGGTATTTCTATCTAAAATATGTTCCCTATTCTAAAGTGAAGTCTTGTTCATAACCAATAAGCTAGTAGTTTGACTCTAATTGACCAGAACAGGTTCCCTATTCTAAAGTTGCCTCCTCTTCACACTTTGTAAATACATTATAGCACACAACTACTGAAATTAACCTCAAAAGTACATGAACAAAGTAGGCACACGTTGAAATATCTGTTTTATTAATGAACCACTCAGAGGTTCAGACACATACATGTACCAAAACATGTCAAGTTTCTCCAAGGCTGAGAACATATATGCAGCCTGTACTTTTTAATAAAAACCGATTTTTAACAGAGTTTATGTATTTGTGATCATACTGTGTGACCTGCTTGTATGTTCTCACACAATAGGTGTACTGTTCTCTCTCTGTGTTGTCTCAGTGTGAACATAGATTAAACAGCCAGCCAAACTCTTTTGAGAATACTAACTGTATATCTGTAGACTTGGTATGTCTTAAATGTCCGGTTAGGATGTATTAGAACGAAATCTAAAATGAAAATTGTAAACAAGCAATCTGTATGTAAAAAACCACCTGTATCTAAATTGTAAATAAGCCATCTGTATGTCAAATATGTCTTATATGTCTTAAATGACATGATGAATTGGAAATGGGGGACCCTGATGTAAACAAGACGAAAGTCTTTCTCTGGTCTGCATCCCCTTAACAATTGTATGTTTTGAGCTGTAGGCTACTGTACTGTACCCAATATACAAGCTGTTAATAAACTTTTCAATCAATCAATCAATCAATCAATCAGAGCCAGGGAATGAGCAGCCATGCTCCTTTATTGACTTATTTGCAGTCCACTGACATTCAAACGGAGTGAAACTATAAAAAAAGAAGTTACAAGGCACTTAATGATCTCATACATGCAAGTGTAACATACACAGATGAACACATTAGGACCGCTTAGTGTAAACAAGGTAAACATAGCTAATGCTAGCTGTACAATAAGCATGTATACAGGCTAGTATGGCTAACGCTAGCATGTATGCTACCGTGTATGCTAACGCTAGCGCGAATGCTAACGCATTTTCTCATTGAGTTTAAACATCTCCACATGTCATCACATAAACACAATACATGTTACTAATCCTTACAGTGTAAGTGTAAGGCTCACACTTACACTTACAGTCATTGCTTTCTGACGGACTTGACCCTTGCTTTTACTCTTCAGGTTGCATAGGGAAAATTAGTGGCAGTGTAGGCCTACTCATGGATGTCTACTGCCATTATATTCCGTTCACGTTCTCCGTTCACGTTCTCCTACTTCCTGTACCCGGGTCTAACCTTCAGTACACATTTTACAAAAATATAAATGTGCAAATATGAAACTTACTGGTCAATATCACCTTGCTATTGGTAGCTGAACTGTCAATACCCCAAAACATATTATAAGATATAAATACCTAATTTTGAGTTATTTTCACAATTAACACTTATAGTTTCATGTCTTGTTCCATAAGAATAGATCATATTTGTTAAGTGTTATTATGGGAGAATTACTATTCTTGTGCTACTATTGCCTTATTACGCCCATATTGAGCAGCGCATATTAAGACCAAAACTCATGTACAACAACTTCCTTACTTGCAATAAATAAGCACTAATTAGAGTGTTATTGAGGAAAAACTCTCAACTAATGGCTTATTACTTGTAGAATATGGTCATGTAGAATACGGCATTAATAAGTGTTGTATAATGACTAATAAAGAGCCATTATACTGCTAATATGCATGCTAATTAACAACTAGTTGATGGTTAATTTGTGTACCTTAATATAAAGTGTTACCCAACTTTTAAATCTTGAAATTTGCCTTCATATATTTTTTTTAAACTGCCATAATTCCCAAACCCTACATTCCTGAGACTTAATTTATCATGACAAACGTAGGAAAACATCTCGTAGCTTGAAAAATGACAAATAATTAAGCAAAAAAATAATTAAACAAAATGCCTCTTGAGGGCATGAAGTGACAAAAACTTTCAACATGCCTCCATTAAAGCCCATTGTAATTTCAGGCTGATATTTCCTCACAGCAGCAGCCGCACACCTTTAGTTAAACTGCCAAAAAGGCCACATTATTAACCTGAAAGTACACAAATTACACTTCAGATACTCAAGTTCCTTGACATGCTTCACGTTTTGAAATTTCACAGATATCTGTTACGGTTCTTCCACAAAACGTTCACATGTAAGAGGTTTATCTCTCATTCAGAACAATGGAAACCTTTGATCTCTGGACGCCTCATTAGCTCAAAATTAAACACCTGTGTAATGGAACACGATGATGTCATCGCTCCAACTGACATGCTCAGAGCAGCAGACTTCAGATAAAGGTTAATGGTCCTGCCTTCAACAGCTCTACTTCAATTATGGGGTGTCATCATCATATGCAGAAGAGAGAGAGAGAGAAGAGAGAGAGTAATGTAATAAAACACGGTTTTCTCATAACTTCAGTGAAAATACTCCAAACAGCGCAAAACTTCGCAGGTTTGGTAACGATGCAGCCATCAAGGCATCTAAGCTTATTATGGAGTGTCATCAAATGCTGTTGCCATGGCGACAGACCACTCGCCATGAAACACGATGTGGCTGTAAGTCCAATCGACACGGTCCAATCGTCCCACAATCTTCACTTGTATATCACCGGTCCATGCCTCAACTGCTCTATGCCAAATCTGAGATCTCACCATATGCCGTTTCCATGGAAACGCATCCCTCGCCATAAAACGTGATGTCGCTATAACTCCTATGAAAATGTTTAAAAAGTGGTCAAACTTCACATTTGTGCTAACAGTCCAGCCGTGAAGACATCTACGGGACAGTTTTGAGATTTCTTCAAATGCCGTTGCCATGGCAACACAATGCTCGCCATGAAACACGGTTTTCTCATAACTTCAGTGAAACTGCTCCAAACGCCCCAAAACTTCACAGGTTTGGTAACGATGCAGCCATCAACGCATCTAAACGTATTATGGGGTGTCATCAAATGCCGTTGCCATGGCGACAGATCATTCGCCATCAAGTTAGTTCAGAAGTTTGCAGTTCAAATATTCTGCTGCTTTTCCAAGCCTTTTTACTTTCTTTTCTTTGCTCATCACACATTCAAGCCCCCAGTGGTCATGTATCATTTCAATCTAAATTCTTCACTTTCTTCTTACACATTACATTTCAGCATAGCAGTTTAGCGTCAGGTTTTCAGCATAAAGCATTCCCACTAGCAATTTCTTCAGGAATTGCATTCTCTAGTTAATCTCTGATATTGCCCATAAAGCTCATTAACAGTAGCCATGGGACATTGGCATTTGGTCATGGAAGATGGCCACACACTTTCTTAACAGCTGCAGTAGGTCAAAAGAATGCTGATGGCTGTTCCTTTCTGCTCATTATTTCCTAATTTTCTTTTCACTTGTTTTTTCACTTTCCCTCACCCTGGCACCTCACTGGGGCTCCGCCACTTTCATCCAGCCTGTTGGGCCATGATAGCAAGGTGTCGGTGCTGTTAGCCAGCGTCAGTCCAGTGGGCAAGCCAGGGCACAAAACCTGAGCAGCAGGGAGTCCCGTGGGATTAGGGATTGGAGATTAGCCTTCTCTCTTGTGTCATCACTAATCCATTCCCAAAGCAAGTACCTCTACATGCACATACAAGCGCGCACACACACACACACATAGACAAGAGCTGTTGTATTAGGATCACAGGGGAACAGTGGAATTTGCATTAGATTGTACTGTATGCACATTTGTGTGCACAGCCTGCATTACTATCAAAATAGAATGTGTTTTTTCCCTAATTGTAAAGGCATTTTCAAAATGTTTGACAAGAACTGCTGATCTACAATAATAGTATATTTCTAATCAGACTAAGATTGATGTGTCAAATACTTGAGCTCATACTTTTTTGTACACGATACACCATCTCACTCCTGCTTTAAAACCTGCTTTTTAAACCCTATATTCACTATTCACGCCTTCCCCCCTCTCTTTATGTCCTCTTCCTGTCACTTCCTGCTCCTCACGCTCCCATATCTCACCTTCCACACTTCTCCTTTTAATAGATTATGTGATAAAAGATCTCCGTCTGTACTACGGGGGCAATTATGTGAACTTCCATTGTGTTTGTGTGCGCGTGTGAGATTGAACGTGTTTATGTGCTGTCGCCTTGATTCAGTCTTTTTGTCAAACCACAGCCGTGTGGTATTGGTGTTCAGTCCAATGGATACATGTATGTCTGCTATTGTCAATCTAAAAGGAACTTGAAGGCTGTCATCCTCATTGGAAACACACACACACACACACACACACCCATACGTTCGTGGCTCTTTTGCCTCCTTGCCTCTTGCCTGCCTGCCTCGTACGACACATAGATTAGTTTAGAGCGATGAGGTAGAGTATTGTTTTAGAATAGTTCTGCAACACAATATATGTGCTGGTTTACTACGCTGCTATCCTGTGTGCTTCATATACCACTATTAAACATTGTACAATTTAAATCTGTTTTCTGTTCCCACTTGGACAGTCTGTTTCCTGTTGTTCAGACATTAAACAATGCAAAAAATGCACCATCAGTTAAACTTGGAGCACAGTACGGACGGAGGCAGGCTTTTTGTTAGTGGTGGGTGGAGTGTTTGTGCATATGTGGTGGAAATGAGTATGTCTCACCTTTTTTTATATTTAAAAAAAACGATGGTGCTGCCTAACCTTGATCTAATATGGCAGAATCTTGTTTCCATGGGTACCAAATCTTTGAGCTCCTAGGATGTGAAGCAATTAGTGGGCCTTGATGAATGTTTCTGTTTACCACAGCCTGATTACAGCCAAGGCCAGGTGGGAGTGTTTGTGTGTGTGTGCTGCATTTGTAGCATTTATTACATGGCGTAATTGTAGGAATAATTTGTAGGTCATAACTCCTTGCCTCTGTTTCCCAGTTTAACACCAGGGTGAAGACAACGGCGTGTTTCGAACATCTGGTTCAAGCCAACGTAAGGAACAAGAAGTTGCTGAAGGACGCTGTTAAGAACATCACAGCTAAAGGAATAACAAACTACACAAAAGGCTTTGAGTTTGCTTTTGAGCAGCTCTCTATGGTAAGATTTTGCAGAAGATGTATTTTTTGTTGAAAAAAAACAACATTTTGTCTCACTTGAGTGTAATTAAGAGCAAGAGGTAGAACAAGTTATGATGAATGTTACCTGTGATGCCTTAATATAGTAAGCAGCTACAGAGCATTGTCTTTCACTGCCATCTGCTGGTTGAACGTTTTATCTCAACTCTACTGTCCAGAACAGATAAATAAACATTATTAGGTATCTGACATAGACATAAACTGACATTTCTTGAGGTTGGTAAATGTAATTGGCTTTCTTTTCTGAGAACGGTGCATATTTACAGCAGAATATTGCTTTTAACATACCTTTTTAGAATCATTGTGTGGTAGAGAAGTGGAGTTTTGACTCTTGAAAACACGTTTATGATTGTCTATAAAAGATTATTTCCCTAGCCAAAATGGGATGGACAAACAGACTGACCCATCTTGCCCTTGTACTCTGTGAAAGTACATGATTAACAAAGAACTGTTGCCATATTTTTCCTTTGACTAGACGAATGTGACCAGAGCAAACTGCAACAAGATCATTATGCTGTTTACTGACGGAGGAGAGGAAAGAGCTTCGGCAATACTGAAGAAGTACAATGCTGACAAAAAGGTAAGTTGATGAAGCACGGACACACACACACACACACACACACACACACACACACACACACACACACACACACACACACACACACACACACACACACACACACACACACACACACACACACACACACACACACACACACACACACACACACACACACACACACACACACACAGACTGGGGCGTTTGATACTGCAGTGTGAATATTTTGCTTGTATCTGAGTGTAAGTGCCTGTGGTAGTGTTTATTTGGCTCAGCTTGTTGGATTTCCCTTTGGGTCCAAACTTCCTTGTGCATATCCTCCCAAACTAAAAGTGTATGCAGAAGGCAAATGACGGTTTTGCATATTTTGTGCATATTTGACTCACACACGCACACACCCTCATACACATGGACACCCACAGATGGGCATGTATCAGCAGGTTGTACTGTACACACACTTCAACATCACTGTCATACAGTAACAGCATATACATCTTAGATTAAAAATGTATCTCATTCATGTTTTTTTGTAAATGTAGTTGTAGTTGAAATATACACCACTGCATGTTAAGATTATTTCTTCAAAAATAGTCTTCTATATTAATGTATCCAACTAAATGTATGTAAATAATAAATTACATTCAAATGAATTGTTTGTGACTATAGTTCTTCATAACTTTATTACAGAAAAGACAATATTTTCTTACCTAAACTGAATAATAAATAATAGACATTGCTGGAATGTAAAAAATTGAAAAACAACAGTTTCTCATGTTAAAGGTTGCATCATGTTTTATATTGTTGAATTGAATCTTGTGCTCCAGGTGAGGATCTTCACCTTCTCAGTAGGACAACACAACTATGATAAAGGACCCATTCAGTGGATGGCCTGTTCCAACAAAGGTACAGTACAGTTCATAACACACATCTATACTGAATATAGTTATCAGTTTATAACAATCCTGGTATTAAATCAAGTTTCACCTTTGGTTAATGTGTCTTACATTTATTTAGGTTACTTTTATGAAATTCCTTCGATTGGAGCCATCAGAATAAACACACAGGTTGGAGCATGATATATATAATGTTACACATGAATTAAGAATGTGAAAATCATTAAAGCAGTAATTTGGAAAATGTGTTTGTATATTGTAGGAGTATCTGGACGTGCTGGGTAGACCAATGGTTCTGGCAGACAAGCAGGCCAAACAGGTCCAGTGGACTAATGTATACCTTGATGCTCTGGTATGATACACTTTGTGTGCTATAATTCATTTAACTGTACAGAAATAATGCTCCAGCAGTGATAATATTCCTAAATTGATAAGAGCATTTGCTTGACTCTCCATCAGGAGCTGGGACTGGTCATCACTGGAACTCTACCTGTCTTCAATAAAACAAAGACCAAAGATGACAGGAATGTCGAGGTGCAGTAAATATATACTTGAACACATGATGAGTGGAGACAACAGTGGCAGGGTTTGATGAATACATGTTTTATCTTTTTATCATCAGCACCAGAATCAGTTGATCCTCGGTGTGATGGGGATTGACGTGTCTCTGGGTGACATCAAGAACCTCACACCACGCTTCACAGTGAGTGTAACATCCATGTGCACAGACGCACGCTGACAAAAATATGTTTCCAACCAAAAGTCTTGTGACAATTCTCTCTGCTGTGAGTGATGTGATTTCATTAGATGTGTTGTTCTTTTCTAAAGTCTATATAAAGTCTTACTAGAATAAAACCTTTTGCTGTTCATTACGGACCCATTGTTGCAAGGTATACTCTTGTACTTTATGACCACTAAAGCCTTTATTTTACACATGTTTAACACCTATTATCAGCTGTTTTCACAACTGTTATCTACAGGCATCATGTGGCTTTCTCTACACATATTTAATTCCCCACTCCTATGTTCTTTTATTCCTTCAGATTGGTCCAAATGGATACTACTTTGCCATTGATCCTAATGGATATGTCCTGCTGCACCCCAATCTCCAGCCAAAGGTATGGCATCTGGCCCAACACATTTCTTTATCTCTTGACGCAAAGTATTATATTCTGAATTTTCCTAATGATTACAAAATCACTGCTTCTGCTCAGTGAGAAATATGCTTTCTAGCAGACTGAGCTGGTTCTTTTCAGACTGTTTCATATGCCATCTCCTTATTATTTTCATAAAAATAACGAATTCTCCAGTTAGAGTATGACTTGATATCGTCAGTTCTTGCTAGAAGGTCACTCATTACCATGTGTGATAAAATAGATATGTAGACTTGGCAGGGAACTAGCATAAATGTTTAAAAATGAAGGATGAAAAGAAGCTGCGGGGCATAAAGTAGAGATAATGTGTTTGAAAGTGAAAGTAGTACACCCCATAATAAAATTAAATGTTTTATCCATAGGAATATATCATGCTAATAGTGTTTGCGTTTTGTATGTAGATTACGTTTTATATGAAGGAAAAGAGGAACATATTTGTTTTATGGCAGCTTCTATTGTACAAGCTTACTTTTAGCCAATTCAAGTATGTTTGATTTCACAACAACTTAAACGATGTTTATAATTAGGCTCAAGGTGAAAGATCCAGCAAATCCAGCAAAACTGCGTGTGGTACCATATCAAATTTGTTTTGTCTGACTTAAAGGAAGCAGGATTTTGTATAGCCAATGGCAGGTATTAAGATGCAACCTGGTGATAATTAGCCACGACCCCACAAGAGGTTGAAACCCACTACCTTCAGCCCGGGGCAAGCAGGTTCTGACAGGCTGCACAGCGGCCATGTGCTGCATGGGAGTGTATGTGTGTGTGTGTGTGTGTGTGTGTGTGTGTGTGTGTGTGTGTGTGTGTGTGTGTGTGTGTGTGTGTGTGTGTGTGTGTGTGTGTGTGTGTGTGTGCGCGTGTGCGGGTGTGTGCGTGTGTGGCAATACTCCTTAAAAATGGTGACTGAATCGCAGCTGGAAGTGTTTGTATGTATTTGATAAGTTGTTTTTCTGAGGAACTTTTAACCCCAAGCCCCCACACAGAGACATTTTTGAAAACCAAAATATATCATTGTGCATCTTTTCATAACTTTCCTAGAAAAGGATTCGAAACAGGAAGCTCAGGCTCACTAATAAATATGCTGTCACTTTTCACGAGGTGAGATAAAGTAGAAGTAGTGAAGATAGCAGAGGTAGCTCCTTAAGGTAGCAGTGTTCTGTACTGTAGTAGATATAGCAGCAGTCATATAGTCCTTGAGATGTTGTTGGCTTCTTCTGCTTTCCTATAAATTTTCCATTTAAACATTTGTTGTTACACTTTGGTTTTAGAAGTGCAGCTTGCATATGTGGGAACTAAAGAAAGTACAGTGGGAAGAGAACAAGGTTGTATTGAGATCAAGCTTGTTAGTCAAGCGATAACCTTGGAATCATTAGAGTGAAGCTGATATTGATGTGCCTTAAACTTGAATATGTTCTAGTGTCCTGCAGGGGGCGAGTGAACCGGCTGCAAAAATAAACAGATTGCATAGAAGTTTAAGTTAACTCATTATAATGAATATGAGTTTATAATCCCATTAGCTAGTTGTATGTCCTTTTAAATACAGCATGTTTATTTGTAAAGTATTGTCCGATTTAGAGTTAGTTTCACAATAAAGCAAAGTATTTTTTAAGGCATGGCCCCTTGAGATTGACAGGTTGATACCACAATTTGTTAGAACCTTTACCCTTTCACACTTCATGAAAGTTAATGGTACACATTTTTTCATTTCAAATGTCTTGGATACAGTTTGGTTGTCCTTCGCCCCACCCTCTTGTGTCACTTCTGTTTCCAAAAAAACAAGATGGCTACGGCAAAAATGCCACCCTCGAGGCTTAGAAAACACCATTCCAAAAGCCAGTTCTAGACGTTATGGTGGCTACGTCCACTTTATACATATGGTCTTTGTTTGTTGCACATATCACTGATATTGTGTATTTAAGCTAGACGGCGTGCTTATTATTTCCCCCCCCCATCAACCGTTAGTACAGTGTGTATGTGTGTAGGGCCTGTCAATCACACACTGTCTCATTGAATCATGGGATGGGCTCTCAATGAGACATCAGGTGAATAGTAATGCTGACCTTCAGCCCTGTCAATATTTCCCTTGACCCCTGTTCCCTTTCTTTAATTATGTTTGTACATATTTCATATTCATTGCACAAATCACCTCAGTTGCAGAAGCATTATTTGAATCTGACATCCAAGCTCACCTTTACAAATCATCTGCTGACATACAGTATTCTCTCTTGTGCTCTTCTTTTCTGACTTATTTTTTTGCATTTGATCTCTTTCCTTTGCTGTTCCCACCACCAGTGTTCCCATTTTTCCTCTTTTCATATGCTCTCCTGTTTTTTCGTTGTTGTGTATGTTTGATGTTTCATTCAGTGTTGTACCTCTTGATCTTTTATTCTTTCTATTCTCATTTTCATGCTGAGATGCTTCCTCTTCATCATTTTTCTTTGCTGCTTCATTTCTTTTAACCCTGCATTAAATGTAAGAAAATTAACACATGTTTTTTATTTGATTGAGTATTTTTGCTTTATTGTTTATTGCATGCTTTTTTATTTTAACCTTCAGTGTCTACTCTTAATTATTTTCCTTCTTTCAAAGTTGAAATGCATCCTTGCACATGTCAACATAAAATAAAGACTTTTTTTTTTTTTGAGTGAACAAACGCTTTGGAGGAGAGGCACGTATCAGATTCCATGTAGTGCTGTTTTATAGAGAAGCACTAGATTATTGCTACCATTTTATACCACCATAAAGCCACTCAGTCGTATTGGGTTTTTAAGACAAAACATTAATAGGGTCCAGTGTCACTTTGTATCAAATCTGATTCAGCTGTGTCTGGTGTCACAGATATGTTGTCAAAATACTGCCATATGGCGCCCTTTGTTTTTTAAACCACGGATTTCATTGGAGTCATATGTTAAGGAAAATGATTGGCATTACTCTTGAATTGAAAATACAAGAGCAGTATGGCTAAAATAATTGTAGTACACTTGATGTAATTCAATGCAATGCCAGTTCTAAGATGCAGGGGATTTTCCTCTCAATGGCCGATTGCCATAGCAAGAACCCATTTCTGAATAACAATCGTAATACGGTCGTCTGAACTTTATAACATTTTACTCTATCAACTCAGCAGGCTTTCGATAGAGTGATATGAAAGGGGGTTATTACATTATAAACTTTGTTTCAAGCAATGCAGGATAAGGCTAAAGGTTTATTCTGCTTTGTTCACATCAATCCTCTTATTCTGTCATTAGGTTTGTGCGTGCGTGCGTGCGTGCGTGCAGTATTATTGGACTCTTCAGACTGAAATATCATCTTTTTTCTCAGAATCCTAAATTCCAGGAACCTGTTACTCTGGACTTCCTAGATGCTGAGCTGGAGAATGACATCAAAGTGGAGGTGGAGTGTTCTGATATATTGAAATCCCCCTGACAAACACACACACACACACACACACACACACACACACACACACACACACACACACACACACACAACACACACACACACACACACACACTCAGGCAAATATTCAGAGGAGGATATACATCCAGGGTGCCAGATGTCTCATGTCTCCTCATAAAGCTATCATGACAAGCCCCTGCATGTGATTTACTCAGTGTTCCTAATTTATTAGCCTGCGGTTTTGAGACAGAATGTTTTTAAATCAGCTGAGACTCACTGAATCAGATCCAGTGACGTTTGAAACACATTTCATTTACACTGTCTGTTTCTTCATCTCTCCCACTAGATCAGAAAAATGATGATCGATGGTGAGACAGGCGAAAGTACCATTAACACTCTGGTAAAAACTCAAGATGAGGTAAGAAAAAATACTCAAATAAGCTTAACGTTTGGGAGAACTTTAAATGAGTTTGGATACTTTTGTAGAGGTCGCCTGCCATGACTATGCCTTGCAGCTGAATACTCTGCAGAGATGTTCACTGACTATGTAGGCAAACTGAAATACCAATATATTAGGAGTGCTAAGTGTCTATCATTGTACAAAGGAAAAGGTTTCTTTTTTGCAACGTAAATATACTGTTGCAAAACGAACTATTTAAGTAATTCATATTGAAGCAGCAGTTACTTTCAATATGTATTATCATATTTCATCACAGATTATATATAAACAATTCTAAAAGATGCAAACCCAATATGTTCCACTTGTATTTCATGCTCCTACATAATCAAAGTTGTTTTCCTGCAAAAATTCCTGGTAATTGTTTTTAGCAGTACTTAAGAGATAAGACGTGTAGGAACCGCCGATTATGTGTCAGCTTTCATTGAGCTGAAAACTGTCTTTTATATTCTACCTAGATTTAAAAAATAAATGTTTTTATTTGTGATTTGTATTATTGAAAGAAAACGTAATATGACTTTAAACTATATTTAAGGATAGCCCCTTTTTTTCCTTTTAAATTTTAAACAATAACACATTGAACGATACTTACCTTAACATTACATAGCAGTTATAAATGCCAGTTCCTGTGTGTATTATCTTTGCCAGAGGTACATAGATCGAGGAGTCCGGACATACACGTTTGCTCCGGTCAATGGAACAGATTACAGGTAAACTAGCTCAGCAATTTTGTATTCAGCCTTCATGGTTTATTAATCTGTCTCTTTCACTTAGGACAACTCACTGCCACTAACTCCTAAGAGCACTCCAGATGATGGAGGACACTACTTAAGCCAACAGGGCTCACTCTCATGTTTCTAATAGCATGCTCGGCTTTGTTGATGGGAAACACATTTAAGGGATTATTATTGAACATGCAGCAAAGCCTTCCTGAGAAACATGGAAACCTTAATCAGCTTTGTGTTTTTTCTGTGTTTCAATACATCCTCTTGTGTCTCATGCAAATACTCAGTATGTAAAACTACTTCACAGAGCAATTTAGAAAACATTGCTTGCTTTAGTTTCAGTTTCCAATTGCTTTAATGACGACTAAGCTTGCAACCTATCATCAATGTGACTCTAATTATCTTTTTCTGCAGCCTGGCTCTTGCTCTGCCTAAATACAGTGAACACTTCATTCAAGCAAATCTGGGGGATGATACAAACAAAGTTATGTGTAAGTATAGCATACACTCTCATGATTCAAAAGTGTTCAAACAAATCAATCAGATTTAATTTAGCTGGTTTCTCACAACCAGCTCCCATGCATACTTTCCTTGGGTTGTCCTCTTCAGTATCTCCTCTTGCTCCTAGCTGGAACCACAACCACTCCTTTGTAGTTGCTGCTCAGATCAGCGGATCCCCACGGTGCTTTTCTTTTGTAGTGTAACCCACTGGTCAGTCGCCCCGCACTCCCACACATACTCATCCACATGCCTTCTTTCTCCCACACCCAGCCAAAGCACAGGATCTTTTGATCTTGTCAATTTTTCTCTTCTCTTCTTATTTACTCCCCTTCTCTGGCCCTCCTTCAGGCTTTGGAGAAGAATAAACTTCCCTTGCCTCCTCTCCCTGCTCATTATCACCTCTCATACCAGCTTTCCTTTATTTTCTTATTCTGCACTCCACACTTTCGCTCTGTCTCGATGGCCAATTTCATCTCTACCATCCTCTTATAAAGTCCATCTGTACTTTACCAGATCTGTCTCAGGCTAACAGGCAACCTGAAGCAAATGTGATTTACTCAGATTGTTCTCCTTTGTCTCTCTGTCTAATCCATAAAGTTGTCCTCCCTTTGTTCTCCTTACTCTCCTTTATCCCTCTCCCTTCACCGCTTTATTTCTTTTCAGCTTACTTTTTTTTTGCTGCGTTTGCTCTCAAGGCTGTCTCGCTGTATGAAACACTTTGGCTGCTTCTCCTAACAGCTCAGAACATGGCTAATAATCACAAGGACAAAACTCTTTCATATACACACATACTATACACTCTGGGTGATGTTCTTGGCATTTTGATTCTAATGCATGTTTTTCTCTTCTGTCCTTTCACATTGGAATCTCACAGCTTCCACTTGGGGCAAGTACTCGCTACTCTGTGTCATCCATGTCTTTCTCTTTCCATGTGATGCATTTCCACTTCATTGTGTCTTCTATAAACAGTATTTGCATGATTACATATAGATGGATGGACTCTGAGGTATGAATGCTTATTCATTACTTTGTAGAGGCATGGGTAGGCACTTTGATCAAGGGATATAAATGGAAGAAAATCATCGGAATCAGCACAAAACCATCTGGCTTTAGTGGATTTTTTCATATCTTTGATGTGACACCACAAAGCATAAATGGCTAATGGTGCAGTTATTCCAACAGATGAGATTTTGACTGAGTGTTTTGGCCTCTGTATCACTCCCTCTCTGCAATAACGAGTCTGTCACCATGCTATAAAGACTGTCAGAACGTTTACAGGCCTGTTAAAGAAAGTAACACACCATGCCTTGCTGCCACAGACTACTCCGATAAGGGAGTTCGGGACTCTAAAGTTCTCTGTACAGCCGTATAGAGTTTCACACCGGAGCCAGACCACCAATGCCTCGATCCATCTTAGCACTTTCCTGCAGTAGGTGGTTCCTGCAGCCACTTGTCCTTTTACTACATTACGGAGGGTCCCTAGTCAAGTGTGTGTTGAACAGTTTTTCTGTCCATATGGCAGAACTGCTACATGCATTCAATAAATGACCTAATACTGGCGTTGAAGAGATGGTGACAGAGAAATAAAGAGAAAGAAAGAAAAGAAAGATGTGTGGCGTGGAAAGCAATTGGACATAGAGACACCCTGCCCAGTCTATAGAGACAGAGGGACAATGAATCTGCCTGTTATCTTTTATGTGAAGGACGTTGTTTCATCCTGCACCAGATTTTCACGACCTCAAGGAAACTCAGCGCTCAGTAATTTTTTCTGCAGACTGCACCACAGGACTCAGTATATTTTAAAGGAAATGTCAAAAATGTCATCATTTTAAGAGACCAGTGAATGAAGGCCGTCCATGCCTGTCATGTCATTTATGAGATAAGAATTACCAGATAGTATTTTAAATGAAATCCAGAGCAAGGGCAGTCAAAGCATAGAGTAGTAGGTCTATTATTTATTAATATTGTATATATTTATGTGCTGTCCCTTCCATGCCATCCTCCTGCTCCTTTAATGTTCTGCGTTTCTCAATCTATTTCAAGTTTTTCAATTAGATGTGATATTGTTTCACGGCATGATATGTTTAGTTTTACCTACTGTGTAAACTATTTACAATGTTCAGCATATTTTCCAAGGTATGGCTCGATCAGAGGATGAATGCATTTTAATCACCGTTTGTCTTTCCTACTTTCTCCTCTCCTCAACTTCTGGGGTCACTACAGGGCAAGAAGGCAAGTATTTCTCACTCAGTAATTGTCTCATGCCCCCCCTTTCATCCTCATCCATACTCTCTACCTTAATCATTCACATACAACATTTCCAATATTATATATGTGTATGTATGTGTTTGATCCATCTACTTGTGAAGTGTTTCCTGATTAACATCGTCTTATAAATATTGACCACACCTTTAAGCACCTAGTTTGGATAATCCATCATCTCTTTTTTCCTAAACCAAATGCTTTGTGTTTTCAAAAGCTTTGGAAACCATACTGCAGGAGAGTTTTGATGAGTATGGATACACCTACCTTGCTCCGAGGTGAGTGACCCTAACACTATTGAACTGTCACTGTACTGAACAAGGGAGTGATATTGAAACTGATCAATACTGTTCCTTCAGGGGATACTGCAAAGAGCTGAAGTTGTCACTCAACAACACCCAGTTTGTCCTCGACTTCAGCCAGTACATTGATAGGAACCCCCCAGATGCATGTGAGTCATGCATCTTCTTCACTGTTATCTCACTTGACACACCTGCACAGGTTGTGATATAAGCTTTCTGTTTGTATTCATATGAGTATTATTAAACCACTGATCAACACATAAATCCATATACAGAATGTAGCTTTGCTTTGTGTGCAGTAATGAGAGTTTGAGTGTTGGTGTGTATGCATGGTGTGTTTTACTGTTAGTCACAGCGATACTTTGATATCACAATGGTCAACATTTGAAGGTCAGAGCATTACTTTGGTCCTTAGATCAGTGCGGTCGAAGCAGAATGACATCAGCTTGATTGACTGAGTTTCCAAGAAGCTTGATGTTGTCATGCTACACAATGACTCACTGTGTTTGATTTGTCATCATCTAATGGATCTCCCCTTTAGTATGGCTTACCACCATTATCTAGCTAATGGATCTAGATAGCCTTGATCCATTTCAACCCAAGGTCAAGCCATATAAAGATGCATTCATTCTGTTGCTGTTTGTGCAGTATGGTCTCACAGTTTACTTTCATTTCAAAGTATTTCTAAACAAAGTTATGGACATTATTTAAAGGTCACCTATTATGCAAAATCCACTTTTTCATGTATTTTATACATAAACATGTGTCCCCTCTGTGTAAAGAGATTCTGAAAGTTTCAGGAAAAAAGATTTGCTCACTTTTTGTCCTGATCCATTTCTATAAAAACCTGTCTGAAAATGAGCTGATCAGATTTTGGCCACTTTATGATGTCATAACGATGTTTTGGCTTGTGTAACCATTAGCCAATCACCAACCAAGGTAACACCCGCCCACCACCTGAATCTCCTCCTACAGCACCATTGTGTTCTCTTTAACCAAATATCTCTCAGAGGGGCGTGGGGAGGGGCTCCTTATTTTCATCTAAAGTAACAGACAGAGAATCAGCACTTTGGAAACAGGGCTGAAACAGAGGGGTTTATGGGATGCTACAATGATCTGTTTGGTATTTGGAGCCAACACTTCAGAGACATGTTTTGTATCTGAGACCCATAATAAAGTAATGAAAAACAGTATAATAGGGTACCTTTAAAACAACACTCAATAGAGTGCCACAGTGACGCGTCCTAAAACCCGGAAGTAAGCTGCGCATGGGTTCCTTCGACAAAAAAGCAATGCAATTTCTCCATAGGATTTTGGAAAATTGCTCGAAATAAGGTCTGTGGTTGACACACACATTTAAGAGACGGATCACGTTTTGTTCAGTCGGATAATCTCCACATCTCTACTTTTATAATTTTATAATCATAAATCTATTGATCATAAATCTATCGATTTAGATTTATGATTCGGTTTTAGGATGCGTCACTATGGCATTCTATGGAAGTTGTATTTAACTAACCTGTGCTTACTTTAAAAAAGTAATTGTCTTTACAATGGGGTTCAAACTCAATATCTTGGCATTGTCTCTCTTTTAAAGCAGCAACAGCAAATGTTTCAAAGATGTTTCCCTGCTGACTGACTGTCTAATAATCACTCAGAAAAGACCTACGAAAACATGTCTCCCAGCTGGATGATTTCCTAACAAGTTCCATGAGAGCAACTTTTCGATTTGGCTCGACATTTGGCTCGACACACCTTCTCTTTGTCTACCATTTTCAAACACTTAAACACTTGTCTCCAGCGTATCATCCATGCTAGCAGCCAGTTAACAGATCAGCTGAAAAAGAGAATACTGGATTAAGTGCATTGCTCAGTGGCTCATCAGTAAAGACCAAAAGCACAACATAACCATCTTTCCTGCCAAGATTCTTACACAAAAGACGGACGTTGCTTCAACCGTATTTCCCTAGTGAGCAGAGTTTTTATGGGGAAGTTTGAAATATGCAAAATGTATCTTGTCTTATATTGACAGGTAATATGTCCCTGGTGAATCGAGTAATTCTGGATGCAGGTCTGACAGCTGGACTGGTTAAACTTTGGAACGAGCAGGCAGTGTGAGTCTCAAATCTTTCTCTCTTTACAATGCACCACTTACAGTGCTTATTAAAAACATTCATCATATAGAAATCTGTGTTGCATGTGCCCAATATTGCTCTGTACTACAATAGCCAACGCTTATTTCATGCTCAATTTACCGAGTAACTGAGCCAGAGTTTCAATCTATCGTTTCTACTCTGGTTGATTTGATCATATCCAACTAGAGAAATACGATGAAAGCAAAGCACAGAATGTATATCACACCCAACCAAGAGCTCTGCCAAGACATGCTGTTTCTAGAGGGAAATAAAATAATTGCATCAGTGTGTTTCCTTTCATGGTAGGCCCACTTGTCTGAAATAATCTGAACAAACACTTACACTCACACTGCAGAGTGTCTGTTTAGCGTCAGCACATATGAAGGCAAGTGACTGTGGGCACATACAATTTGTGTCTTGTCTGCAGCTTGCTCTCACAGATCACAAACACTTTTTCTAATCAGTGTGATTGGCTTTGATGTTTGATTGGAGGCTGTTTTCCATGTTTTCAGGGATGGGATAGTGGCCAGGTTTGTAGCCACAGATGGAGGAATCACAAGAGTCTTCCCAAGAAGGTAATCTCCTCTCTCTCTTTACTCAGTTTCACTTCTCACGTTAGTGCTGGCGTTGTAAAACAGCCCGTCAAGCCCTGCCCAAATATTTGCTGGTGTAAATGTGTGAGATGAAAATGGATACAGACTGTAATGCTCTTGAGCTGAGCGTTTTTTTGGCTGCCTTACTCACCTGCTCCACTGGGTTACTTTCCAGAACAGAGAGGATTAGACACTTATAGCTGAACTCCCAGAGCTTGCCAAGCCAGAACAGGACACGGGTCATAACCACACATCCAGCATTTTCCTCAATTTCCTCGCTGCTTCTTTTGTCTAACCTAAATGTGGGGGGTTTCGCTTGGTCAGAATATTATACTCCAGCTGAAGATAAATGCATATTCCTCCTGCCTATAAAACCTGGAACTCAATCACTTGTTCCTTTAACAGGGTCATGCTCTTGACATATATCAAGTGCTTCAGATTTGATTGCTATTTTGATTTGATTTGAAATAATGGCCCATATATAATACTATGATACAATACAAATTTTCAGTGCTGGAGAAGATTGGGCTGAGAATCCGGAGACATACGAGTCCAGCTTCTACAAAAGGACCCTGGACAATGACGTTTATATTTTCACAGCTCCATATTTCCGTAAGTTTTCTGAAAGGTTGGACAGTGTGTATGTTTCGTGCACTTTTGTATGTTTGAGGATCCTCAATGTGGTCTTTCACTGAGCCTATCCTGCTCTCTGCCTTTTGGACGTCATCTCGATTCTCCTGGCAAAGATCACACTCTCAGGCCTCTGATATCACTCTTTATCCTTCTCCTTTTTCCCGCTGTGTCTGTCAGCACTCCTCCCCCCCCCCATCTCCCTCCTGCCCTGCTTCCTGTTATCTCCGCTGATCTCTCTAACAGACATCAGGACAGGCAGACGTAATGTAGCTGCGCTTTCAGCTACACTTGACTGGATTAACACATGTACCGGTCTTACAGACTCAGCTCCACTCACGTAAATTACAAGCAGCTAAAAATGCATGGAATTCCCCACGATGGATAGCGATTATTCCTATGTTACTGTTATTCCCATTATGAAAGGTTCCGTGCCAGGGTTTTTTTTAACATGATTTAGGTTAAATTGCCATGATTTCATTCCCTTCCCTTGTGTATCCCTTCTACACTGCAGCAGAGGTGAGGGAGTCTGTTACTGAGTCAGGTATTCTAGTGAGCAAATCAGTGGACGTCACGATTGGTGAAGTCACGCTCAAGCCAGCAGGTCAGTCTTGCTAACCCAAGTTTGAAGATTTGTTCGATGCAATATAAATGACAAGTTTCAACATATCTGCCTGTTTTGTGGTTTGCTTTGTAGTGGTGGGTGTGAAACTCAATGTCTCATTCTGGATGAACAGTTTCATAAATGCTACACTGAAACTGAACGTAAGTTGTGTTTATAAAGACTCATTGTATCATATGTACAATTTGTTTACAGCTTTGTCGTTATAAAATACAAATGATCTGGTTCACTTTTTTACGTTTTAGTGCAAGGATGAGATCTGTGGCTGTCTAAGGAATGACAAGGTACAGCAATGAAACCTTTTGTAATAAAGCTTGATTAGTACCTCTTTATAAATAATGAAAGCTCTTTTTAAATTCCAAATACTTTTTACTACTTTATTTGTACTCTTTATCTTGTTTTCCCCCACAGCATGTGGACTGTGTAATCCTGGATGATGGAGGATTTCTTCTGATGTCAAACCAGGAAGAGTATATCACCCTTGTAAGTTACCCGAAAAGCAGTTTTTTCACGTTATTACAACCATGTATACTTAAAGTGGACCTATCATGCCATATTTGAATAATATATTGTAGGGCCATACCTATACAAAACATGTCTGTAAAGTTTTATTTTCAAAATACCAAACAGATCATGCATTTTAGCCATGCCTTTATTTGCTCTATTCCAGCCCTGTCTTCACAAGGGCTGATTCTGTGGCAAATGAGCTGCAGCTGACCACGCCCCCATGCAAAGGAGGGGGGCGAGGCACGAGCGTCATTTTACCATGCTCTTACCATGCCACGCAACCTCTCATTCCCCTGATAGGTGGAGAGTTACCCATATAGGCGGAGCTCCCCGTTTCTGACATCAGAACAATTTCAAATCTGTATCAGTCTGTATCAGATCTGTTGCAGCCCCGTTTTTAGAGATTTGGGTATGGAGGAAAAGAGAGAGGGTTGTGTTTTCTGACACTTGGTGAGTTCCCTGACACACCGGGGACACATATTCATGTATAAAAGATGTACAAAAGTGCATTTTGCATGATAGGTCCCCTTTAACTTTTCTGCTGCCTTTGTCCTTGTCCAATTATTTGATTGTTTGTTTGTAGCCTTTATTTAACCAGGTGAAAGCCCCTTGAGATCAAAAGATCTCTTTTTCAAGGGTGACCTGCAACTGTGACTTGATAAACCCTCCCACAATAAAACATCTGATTCAAGATTCAAAGGCTTTAATGTCATATGCAAACTAGCTACAGTGTAGAAATGGCAATGCAAATCTTAAATCCCGAGCTCATGTGGTCATCTGTGGTCATATAGTCAGAAAGGTTCAAATCAAATACTTTGCCATCGTTCAAATGTCTTACTTTGCTCGACCTTTCTTCATACCTAGCTCCTCTATGCCACAGGGATCCATCAATCCCATATAGAGGTCATACAAAGGGCTTATGACTCTGCTGAGGTATTATAATGGCCTGTTAGCTATGAGCTGTTTGAAAGCTCCTGTAGGACAGCAGTACATCGATGTCTCCAGTAAAGTAAAGCACTAGCGACTGGAGGAGGATCAAAGGGAAGATTGTGATGGGGTTTAGTCAGTCATGGAGGCTGTGGTAAAGTGAAGCAAGTCCCCTGTGAATGCAAGAAGTCAGCTCTGCTGTGTGAACTCACCTCTCTCAGGCTGCTATAGGCCCCTGTGTGTCAGCGGTAGGACATGCAGAAGGTCTGGAAACGTTGCATGACAGACAAGACTGGACATCTGCTGTCTTTGATCCATTCTGCTATTGCAATGTCTTGCATTTGAAAAAGCACCCTCCTTTCCCTTTTTAACATCTTGGGATCATGCATCATTTTAAGTCTGTCTGCAGCTTTAAAACATGTAGCCATAATTCTATGATGATGGCTACAGCTCTTCTATCAGGGCTATATGTATTGTTAATGCTCAGGTAGTAGGAACGCTGCAACTAAGTAGACTTATAACCTGAGTGCTCCTTGTGAAGCTACAGTTAACTATTCTGATTTCAATCATGGGATAACATTGTTTTACCTTTATTCTATGTTACAAACACTCTGCCTTAAATTGCTCTTTTGGTTGAGCAAGCAAAGCCTGCTGCGACTGAAAACCTGCTGTGAAACTGACAGCAATGTAACAACGACACCCAGACAGGGGACACTGGAGCGTGACACCACACTTGCCTATCCAGAGCGCTTCAACAGAGGGTGAAAAGGGCATGGCATTAGAAGCGAAGTGGAAGAGTGACAGGCTGACTGCCACCTGGTAAAATGTGCTGCCTCAGAACATTTTACCACTCGTCCTGATTGGCTCTAATCACCTAAAAGCAAATGTTCAGTGCACCGATGCAGCAATGAATGGCCAAGTCTGTAAAGCTCCACCCGAGGAGATGTTACACAGCTGTATGATTGTACAAGTAGAGTCTTCCACTGCTTTTGTTGACAGGTTTTATGTGTTTGTGTGTTTGTATTTGAACTCGTCTAGATAGGTCAGTTCTTTGGAGAGGTTGATCCTGTGCTGATGATAAACCTGGTCAACACCTCTCTGTACTCCTTCAACAAGACCTATGACTACCAGTCTGTCTGCGACCCGGAGAAAGGCAGCAAGATTGCAGCAGGACCCCGCTCCGTCTATGTGGTAAGACACACACATGTTTGATTAAAAACTATAATGGTTCTTGATTCATTTGGAATATTGGGAATATTAGGTTTTAGGGTGGTTTGTTCATTCGTCCAATTCTATGAAGGCGTTGGCACGAATATACTTTCGGACCAAAGTATGAACGTGACAACTGTTTTACTTTTCGGTCATAACTTAAATACAATCACTCATCAAGTATATCACACAAATGTTGGAAAAGGTCAAATGAGGAGGTAATGACAATTTGGACAGACATCAATGTAACCTGAAACTTGACTGGTAATTCTAGGTATTTCTTGTTTCATGAAAGTAATACAAAATGTAAAAATAAAATTCCTTTATTTTGGATTTTACTCTACGGTATATGACTCTCTTTTATTTTCCTTCTTCAGCCTACCATTGCAGACATGCTCAGTATTGGCTGGTGGGCCTCCAGTGCAGCCTGGTGAGTATACAGTTTATGTTTCTGTGTTTTGTTTTTCCACTTTTTGTATTGCTTGCGAGTGGGAGTACATTTGTACTTTGGGGTAGGACTTTAAATGAGAAAGAGATGTATGTTGTTGAGGGATGAGGCTGACTGGTAAGTGAAGGGCAAGAGCAGTTACACAACAATATACTGATATTTCTATGACTGTCCAACTGCAATATACACAACTTTTAAAATCTAATGACTGACACATCCCTTGACATTTAGATCAATAATGACTCAAACACTGTAAAAGTGTTTGTTGTTCAATGTAATATAAATGATAGCTGGCTTAATGAATCATCTGTGTGACTCATTTTGTTATTTTCCTTCTCTGTGTCTAGGTCGATACTTCAGCAGCTCTTCTTTGGTGTCATGTTCCCTAACCTTCTAGAAGCAGGTAAGCAACAAAAGCTAGTACATCAAAACATAACTGTAAGCCATATTGAGATGACAAAGCAGTATTTGCAACCTCTTTCTAAATTAGATCCCACTTTTCTCTCAATAAATCTTTTGTAGTGTTTGTTTTTATTAAAAATGTCCTCTTGTTTTTAGCGGAGTCACCGGATGATGACATACCAGATGCCATGTTTAAAGAAAGCTGCATCACAGAGCAGACTCAGTACTTCTTTGACAATGAGGAAAGATCCTACTCAGGTTTACTGGACTGTGGAAACTGCTCCAGGTATGTGGGTCTATTGTCATACGTGCAAAATGTACATGTGCTCCCATTTTAATGACTATATCCGCTTATGCATTACATGGGATTTGTTCCCCTTTTACTCTATCTTCTTCCTGGACATCCTTCTGTTTATGGGTGTGCAGGGATGGGTCCAGGATAGTGTTAGTTTCCTGGCTTCTCTCTGTTTTTCAGCCTGATTTCAGGCAGCTGTTTTCTGGTGAGTTTTGATCAGATGCAGATTACCTTGATCTGTCAGTGCCCGGAATTGCAGAGGGAAGCACAAAAGCTCTTTTATCTGTTTTTCTTCCTTCGCTCCCTGGCTATACTTCAAACTCACTAATACACACATTCACGGACCACTGCACATCCCCTTTGCTCTAACCTCCTTTCTGTGTCAATTTGGGCTGTGGGAGGGAGTTAAATATGGCTGTAATTACTGGGTGTTTTGAGTCCCACGTGTCTGCTGCTTTACCCCCCAATGTTAACGACTGTAGACACAGAAACTGCCATAAAAAGCCAATCCCCAGACAAGAGAAGAGGTTTAGCTTTGTAATTGTGTGCCCAACTGCACACATACCTGTCTGTATAAAGCATATTCTATACACTATATATGCAAATGCAGTATATTGTACAGAATATCTCTTTACATGTCATTTGAAGCTGCGTGATCCTTTCAGCACAGCTATATTACTGAATAAATACTGTATGCACTGTTTACCACTATGAATGTCTTTCTTTCTAGGATGTATCGTGCTGAGAAGCTGCCAAACACCAACCTAGTGTTCCTGATCACTGATGCCAAGGCAACGTGTTTGTCCTGTGACCCCAGGCCGCTGCGACAGGCTGAACAACCCTGTATCCTTTCACTCGTAAAAATCAAACATAGAGTTACACTTCCTTTTTACTTTCCAGCCCTCCACCCATCACCCTTATGACAGGGGGGCTTTAAACTCTCAATACAAGGACACACACCTCAGGAGTTTGCAGTGGGTCCCTGCTGAATGTTAAGGGGTGAACAGTAAACCAGATGCACGGCATATGAAAGTCTGTCTCATATTACTCACAGATTACATTTCTTTGTTTAATTCATCTGGTCTGCACGCTGCCATCAGGATGAATTAAGGTTAAGAGCTGCAGTGTGTTTGTATGTATGTACAATGTGAGTTTTGATATACTGTATATTTGTTCAGCGTATCTGTTTGACAGATGTGTCGTGAACGTAGCTTCCTACTGGTGTAGAAGTGCAGAGGTCATCATGAGAGATCCCCACCATGGGGTCAAAACAGCCTCAAGTTGCTACACTAATAAGGACCCCACTCAACCCTAAAAGAAATACACACATGCTGCTGTATTTTAATATATATACACACGTACATACATATGGCATGGCTTAATGGTAAAGATGAATTTGAATGTACTCATACAAATAGTTTGTATAATTAATAATCATTTCAAGAACTGCCTTTTTGCCTTTATCGTAAATTGTAATAGCAGGTCAGCAAAAATCTTGGAAGGAATATCTCCAGCCAAGGTTGATGAGTTGGAAGAACATAAGGCTTTTTGGCAGGCAGATTAGATCATCCAATAGTTGCTGTTGTAAGTGTTAACTGCGACTGGTGTATCGCTTTTTCCTGACATTTTCTGTTCAGCCGAAGGTCCTGATCCATGCGAGCTGGCTCAGAATCCCAGATACCGCAAAGGGCCTGACGTATGTTTCGACAACAATGAAAATGTAAGACACAACCACACATGTGCGTCTGTCCAGAGAACATTGTTGGAAACAGCTCCATTACTGAGCTGTTGGCTCCTGTCAGTTCTGTCTGTTTCTCATCAGTTCTCTCATCCACACTGTGCCGTCTTTCCCTCTGATCCGTTCTTGATTTATTCATTAATTTAATTATTTTATTAAAACATTTGTATTTTGTGAATTTTGCATGTATATTTGACTCAATTTTTATTATTTATCTTGCTTTATATCGTCTCTTTTTACTCATCCTCTGTCATTCTTTTTTTATGATTTTGATCCCACCGGCTGCTGCTCCTGTCTGATAGGATGAGCCCTTGTGTCCAATCAGCAGAAGTTCTTCGTTGAGCCCAATACCTCTCTTGTTGTTGCTGGTGCTGAGTTCAGGGTCAGTGCCCTCACACAGCTCCATACAGATATATGAACTACTTACATTTTTACTGTCGGGTCATCCCAATGTGCCTGGTAAGGGCACATCAGGAAAAGCTTGGTTGGAATTAGGTATTTGCTGGACCTATACCTATTTTCCAAACATTCAAGCACCACCCATCCTAGTTATATTTGATAAAAGAATCTAACCAACCTGGTATTATGCATGTTAACTCTGATCCACCTGAAATACTCTCTCAAACAGTTTCAATCAGTTATTGTACTTTTACACTATGATCCCATAAGTTTATAGGTTTTGTGTTACATTAACAATTTTTCATACAAATTTAAAAACAGTGAGAAATAATTTGACAACTAGAATGAACTAAATACCACATTTTAAGTACAAACAGTTGTGTATGATGTTTTTATTTGTGGCGTGCCTATCTCCCTAACAGACTGCTACATCTTGCTTTGGCATCTTTTTTTGTTCTTTTTTCCCCCTGTTTTTTCCACCAACAGATGGCAAGCAGATTGTATCTTGGCAGTTAAAAGTGTTATACCAATTTGATATAATAGCTTCGCAGCACCACTATGCAATAATAGCTTCACAAAACTATGTATAAATATTCGTATATGCAGTTTTTATTCAGCATTGCTAAATGCTTTGTCAGCCAAATATGTAAACACATTTGGATGCATTTTGCCTCAGACTGAGATGTCTTTTAGGTTTTAAGAATTGCAATACAATATCCAGACCTCATACAGTAGGACATGAGCTTTTGTAGAATCCCTTAATGGGAGAGATGGGAGTTCATAGTGGTTCATTTGAGGTAAATCATTCAAACAAAGGAGCAAGGTGGATAACTTGTGTGTGAGATCATTGCATCATCACCCAACTTTGAACAGTTTATAAAATGTCTTATTATTGGGGGAGGTGTGAGGAGGTTATGCTTGGACACAAAGTAAATAAAAGTATTAAAAGTAGGCCGAGTCCCTTTTCCTCCCACCATCTGTTACTTTTGGATCAGCTCCTTATAGGAAGACAGTTTATGACGAGGCCAGTCAATGTTGTCACAGGAGTAAACAAAGGAAGCTCCATGTGTGTTTCCTGCCCTTTGAATACAGTGGACTCCCACCTCTCTCTCCTAGGCCTTTGGCATGCAGGGACATCCTGAATACTCCCATCAAATACTAAAAACAATACACTGTCAAACAAACACATGCAGCACAATCAGAATGATGTCTCTGTAACTGCACCACAGCATTTAAATTAACAGATGATTTCGGGTAAGATGCGGTTTGTTTTCTTGTCAAGAGTTAAACGAGAGAATGATTTTCTAGTAGATGTCAAGCTACCATGGCAGGCAGTTAGATTAGCACAAAGACTGCAAACATAGAATCAGCAGACATGGCTCTGCACACTGCCAAGACATAGTCCTGCACATGTTCAATGTATAACCAGGGATTCTGTTTTTTACATTTCACTCTTTGTAGGAAATAAACAAATGACATGTGTTTATGAGTAAGCTTTTGAGGTTCTCCTAGGAGGATTGTGTTTACGGAGAGCCTTGCTAGCCCTGTTTCCAGTCTTTTTGCTTTGCATTTCCTGGTTCCAGCTTTATTTTAATAACATTTGGAATGATGGATATGTGAGTGCTTTTGCTCTTCTCATATAAGTCATAAACTGCTCGTTATTGTTTGTAGAAAAGTAGTGATGATGGTGTAAGTCGCAGCAGATATACTGGATAAAGTAGAAGACGGTTGATCTGATTGATTGACAACTGCTTTGTCCAACAGGAAGATGATTCTGATTGTGGAGGAGGGACCAGCCTGAGCCCATGTCTTTGGCAAATGCTTGGACTCCAACTACTGATGATGTGGCTCATCACAGCTTTACAAAACTCATGACCCCTACACACACAAACACATAATTATCTCATCCCACACAAGGCCAGAAGACACTCCAGTTATGCCATGCAGGATGTATGCAGAAAAGTTGCAACAAGACATTATGCTTTATGATGACCGTATCATTTGTTCAATGCCAAAGGGTGCTCAATTGTTTCCTCCTTGTCATTTCCAAAAATAGAGACACATATACTGTGCTCAGCTGCATTCATTTCCATGATATACTCCATAATCCTCTCTTATGGTGCAAGAGTAAGAGCTAACCAAACCCTTTAATTCTGCCTCTTTAGTTTCTTTGATTTATTTTGCGGAGGTTGAAGAGTCCCACTATGCCAACTAAATATCCTTCAAAGACTGTATGTTCACTGACAGCGTTGATTTGTGTCGTTGTCAATATTGTTTGTTGCTTATTTATTGCGTATGAATCATAATGCTGTAATGATGATTATTTTAGGCCACCAGTGCAACTATATTCCCTTTTTGTTTAAGTGTTTTGAAATGTACTGTACTGATATATTTATGAAGTTGGGATTTTTTATACTCAAAATCAAATAGCGTTACATGACTAACTAGGTGTTGTATTGTAGCAGCATGTGCTCAGTACAGAGCTAAAGACAACACCAGTCCTCTGACACCAAAGCTCCACACAGTACCAAGGATCAGAGATACACTATACCGACTACAGAGAATCTGATGTGGGTCTACATCAGTATTCAAGTTATGACGTTAGATAGATAGATATCTATACCTCGCTGAGATGAAGTGAGATCATGTGAATCTAAATATATTAGGATAATACAATTGAAAATGTGTTTGTCCTTGGTCTGACAGCTTTGGTTGTCTTCAATTTGAACACATCAAATTCCCAGTGCCTACATAGTAGCTCAATCAGTGTGTTACTGAATGAAACAATGAATCAGAGTTGTATTATCACCATGTAGGCTTTTATGCTAATGCTGCTGCAGTTGAGTAGAAAATGGTAGCCCTTGCAGTAAAATGTTGTGGAATGGGCCACATCAGCTGCAGTTGTTATTTGATGTGGCCCGAGCAGCAGCAGAAACAAGCAGGGATTTTGATTAAAGAAAGGGATTTAATTTTCCTTCATGTTCAAAACAAACCTAAACCACACTTGAGCCTCACGCTCCAAAACCTCTCTTTATTAGGCCTGTTCTGTTCCCTTTCTGGATCACATGACTCAGGAGCCAAAATGACTTGTGAATGAGATCACCATATCGAAATGACTGTTTCCTTGTTTCCTTCTCCTTGCTGTTCTCCTCCCTATGCTTGTTTCCTCTTTGTTTTGCTCTATAAGTGCTGTGAAGCAGACGCTGAAGGCTCGGTGTTGAAATGCTGCAATGTCATGGGATGAGCTTGTTCTGTGTTTGAACGCTGTCTTTGCCTATGATCAGCATCAGGGCCTGATGGAGAGAACTTAGAGAATACACTACTCCCAGTGGTAATTTTTACATTGCCTCACATTACCATACATACAGCATTAAGATCAAACTCAAGTTTTCCTTTTTCATTGTAGCTATTTAAAAAATGAAAGTAGAGTTCTCTCCACCTAGCCTTCATGCTGACCCTGTTGAGTGTTCAGGTTATGCCGGTCTATCAAAGTTGCGTGTTGACATGTGTTTTACCCCGGGGATCCCGTGTCTATGTGCAGGCATGTGCGTGTCCCTCCAATATCTGATTGTGCTTTAATACTGTACATGAATTACTCTTTTTGTGGAACTTGACTAGCCTGAATAACTTTTGTATACATTTGTACACTTATACTATTTACTGTAAAAAAGAGAAAATGAAAGTAACGAAAAATGTTTATAATATGGTGTTGATTATTGTGCAAATAAAATATATTCACAATAAAAGTGTTGTATTGTAATGACCTGAGGTGCTTGTTTTTATTGTCACATCTGGCCAGTTGCTTTGGCTCTACTCGGACCAGACCGAACATGTCATACTTCCTGGAAGAAGAAACATCTGTTGAAAAGGGAAGTGCATCCGCATCTGTGTTTCACTGTGTGTGTTTGTGTACGAAGCACATGTTGGTAATTGCTACTTTGCCAAAAAGTCATTTTATAATTAATCATTTTACAGCGGAGACATATCAAATAATTGCAAGAAATTAGGATTAGGTGTTACTTAATAAGAGGCGGAAAAGCAGTGTTTTGCTACCATGTTTTTTCAAAAGTTTAAAGTCTGTTTAACGTCAGACCACACTGGGCATCACTGACGGGTGTGATTTGTGGTTAGGAGTTGTACAAATTGTGATATATTGCAGGCGTACCGTAACAAACAGTGACAACATGGTGTACTGACACACCATAGGGTACACTTCGACATGGCTCAAGGTAGATGAAAAGTTAAACCAATGTCTGTCAGCAATAACACAATTCTCAGTAGGGATACAACAGTAAGGAACATTTTCAGTCGGGTAATAAACTTGTGACAATACTAGTGTTACTGATTACTCTGAAAAAAGTACAAACTAAAAGTAATTTGGCGATGAAACTGAGAGTGCTTACTTTGAATTCTAACGCTGGATATGTGTGTGGAGCTTTACCTGCAGGCCAGAGGTTTCCACTGGGCACCAATTAACCATCTTTTGCCAAAAGCATCAGAAAGCCAGATGCCAACACCAGAGTTAGAGAGTAGTTCTTCCTTCCTACTACATTACAAGTGCTTTACCTGATGGTATTTGTGTTTATCTGATGGTAATCTAAGAATCAATAAGGCCATAGTTTAGAGTGCGAAATATACAAATGTTTGTTTTTCTTGGAGATGTGTCGGACTGGGAGGTCTTGGTAGGTGTGTTATATAGCAATATGTACGGGAGGTTGTAACAGGATACTCTTGTAATTGGGGACGAGGTCGTACCCTTTAACATGCCTGGGTTAAGAAGTTACAGACGCAGGATAAGCAGGGACAAGTTCTACATCTATTTTCAAATTGGAAAACAAAGGTCAAAAACCCACAAGAGAACAAATAAATTCATGTTTTTTTGTTGTTTAGTTCTGGGCAAGGATCCTTTTAACTGTGATAGCTTAGCATCTGTATTGCCTATATGTGGTACCAAAGTGACTTTGCTAATCACAGTTTAACTGAGTCCATTCCGCACATGCAACTGCTTTCCTTTTTTCTGTTCTAATTTATTTTAGTATTTTTACTTTATTACATTGTTGACAGTTAAATGTTACCAAAGTCTTGGTAAGAGAGCAAAAGGCAGTGAAATGCAATAAAGCTTGCAGGCCAGAATCAAACCGTGGTATTACAGTTAAGGCATGTGGCTTAGACCGCTGGCCAACCACAAAACAAGTCCAGGTTTTAACTGTTAAAACTGTTCGTTTTGGAAAGATAAAAGAGTCAAACATTAATATAATTACATGATCTGTCTGTTAAACATTTTATTGTCTAATTTAACTTTGGCATGCTATTCTTGTAGCAATGATGTGCACATTTAGATTTACAATTCAGATATTAGTATGGTTCACCCTTGTTTATGCATCCAAATAAATGGTTTGGATAACAGGGCTAAATTCGAGACTTGCTTAAAACGGAAAACTCCATCCTGACTGGTTCTTTCTCATCAAGATGTTGATGCAATTGTTCTGGTATTGTGGTAATGTCAAACAGAACAATGATTCATACAATATACGCATTTACATTTGAGTGACAAGCCTTTTCTTCTTTGTTTTAACTTCGTTTTTCTGCCCATCCGTTATTCTTTTTACCATTATCCAACAATTCCATAAAGCAATTTACCCAGACTAAAGCACTCAAAGCTGGAACTGGGTGACTAACTTTAAGAGGCTTTCTTTTATTTTGTTTCACTAATTGCAGGAAGTAACGCATAAGATTAACAATGCATCAACAACATGAACTGTGACTGGACTTCCAAGGAACAGCATGTTATTGGTTAACCTCTCTGAAGTTCATTTGATAAAAATTGAACATCCTTTTGTGTAGAGTTTTACCAGCGAAGACTATTTTTGGAACAGCATTGACGCTCAATGACGTTTTGATTGTACCATTAGAGCTAAATTTAGTCCCGACACCGTCAGCAGCCTCCGGGTCATGACAGACCCAGGGCAATCAACCCAAGGCAGAATAAACTTCCCTCAATCTGGTAACAATAATGTGGTGTGTTTTTAATTGGCACCATTTATTTTTTTCTAATAGGGAACAAAGTGTACACTTCCTGTAAGCAGCAACAGAAAGGTCACAGCGTTTTCCATCACCATAAAACACAGTCCAGGGAAGGGCATTAGGGGCACTGAGGTTTCGTTCTACTGTAGCTCCCGTAATGAAAGCTAAACCAATGTAAGTGACCACCAACTCACTCATACTGTATATTCCCGTATGAGACACACGCTTTCCCTTTTATCAAAGGCTATTATAAATCATTTAGCTGCTAACTATTATATGTAACTCACCGTAAGTTCAATCAGGAAGACCAATATCCTCTGGTGTTACACGTCACTTCAATACTCTCTCCTCTCCCATTAAGTAATCAGGGGCGTTACTCCCCGACTAGCCAATCATCGCACCCGCTAACCCCTTTAAATCTGCTCTTCTCTCTCCGTCAGTTGTCATTTCTGGTGTCAACGCGCAACCCTCCTCCACCCCTTCGCCTCCTGTCTCCTAATACAGGGCCAAGCTGATTGAAGTAACTCTAAATGGATTTTGTTTGCTGCAAAAGGAAAATACAGATAACATCCAAGTTTTTCTTTATCACAGAAAAAGATCCTGAACACGCTTTAGATATTTTCCTGTGATTGTTCACATTTGGCACCTGTTCCTTCAAAACCCCACTAAATCTGGCAACAACATTAGCCAAAGTAAGTCTTAAAATATTATGTGTAAAAGGATTTCAACGATTGGTGTTAGACAAACTGAGGGTTGGAAAGAACACCAACAGAGGCTTGGCATGGATGATCAGGAAATGCCACAGGCTTTTCCAAACCCATAAACATGACTACCTTGGTTGGTCTCTCAGATTGTAAGCAGGCTTTGCTGTGTTGTCTGAATGCTTGGTGTGATTGGCAGGCGTAACATTCGAAAACTCTGTCCAGGTGAACAGCCTCAACGGGACACATTCCATTCCAGCGCAGATTGGAGATTGATTTGTGGATTTTTCTGTGTTTAGAGTGGGGCCTCACATACATTAACTGGTAACATGAGGTGTTAGATTTGTGGGGGGCACGCACATTCAGCAAGGTTAAAGCATGTATGTCATTCTCTTGCTTGCAAATGCTCAGGTTTCCGGATAATCATCTTTATAAATACATTTATGGGGAACATGACAAGGTTTTCAAAAGATAAGCTGCAAGTATTTGGTGGAGTTATGTACAGTACGTCAAGTTCAGGTTTGTTGCTCTGATGAAATTAGACAACTAGGTTGCCATTTGTTGTAGACCCTTACAACTTCCTCTGATGATAAAATAATATTAACCAGAATAGCAACTACATCAATTGCACATGATCAAGGCAGAGCTAAAATAATGTAGACTCTTTATTAAACAGATAATTTGGAAGAAACTCCATTATCGCTCAAACATGTCAACCAAAGTAATATTTTCCCAATGTGCACTGTTAATAAACAGTTAGAATGAATACTTAATAAAAGGTGCAGATGGGAATGTCCTTATCTTTGCCGGTGTTTGGTCAGTATTGGACAAGTTGAAACTTTGACCTGATGATGGTGCTAGATGAAAGGTGAGAAGATCTCACTTAGATCATTGGGAAGCGATCTACGGAGGCCTGCTCCCACCTGTAGAATACGGCTGTACTGGAGAGGTTTTTACCCCGGAGTCGTCGCGGAGAGACGGAGTGGATCCACGCTTCGGGCTTGGCCTGCTTCCACCGGGCGTGTGCTGCTGTACGGAGGAGGATTTTACCACCGCTGGGGTCTGCTTTCCACCTGTACTGGTTCTGCTGTTGCAGAGGCCTGCTTTCACCCCAGGGATACCACGGAGGGACCGGAGCACTTCCACGCTGCTGTTTTCGCCTGTCCTTTGCTGCTGTGCTGATTTTGCTCCAGGAACATCGCGGATACTGTGTTACAATTACCGGTAGCCTTGTCACAGTCAATCTGCTCGACAAAATATGTTTGTCTTTTTTATTTTCCTGCGATGATGGTTCTTCAGGACTGCTTCTTAAGCTCTAATCACACTCTCGCAGACTTTTCCGGTGTTTCTAAATTAGATGACAATGTATGTGTGTCGTTTAAGAGGAAAAGATGCCTGGTTTTGTTGTTGTTATTACTGTCAGGAAATGTACAACCTAACCCTGGTCCGCCCAGTAGTAGCAGTAGTCAGATCGCTACTCCTGCTGATTTTAAAGCTAGGTCTGGGTTGGGTTTCATCCACTTGAATGTGCGCAGTCTGTTAGGTAAACTAGATTTTGTCCGTATCTGGGCAAAATCGACTGACGCCGACGTCATTGTCTTATCAGAAACATGGCTAAACAAATCTATTTTGGCCTCTGACATTGCCTTAAATGGTTTTAATGTGTATCGTACCGACCGGCCTAATAAAGGTGGTGGCGTTGCCATTTATGTTAAGAATAAGTTCAGTGTAACCATATTAGTTTCCAAATCGATCAGTAAGCAATTTGAATTTTTAGTCATAAATATAGAAGTGGCAAAGGGTCAACAGGTCATGGTAGTGAGTTGTTACAGACCCCCCTCAGCTGTCAAAGACTCCTTGTCTTCGCTAGCAAATCTTTTATCACAACTAGACTACAAGGAAATAGTGCTACTTGGAGATTTTAACTGGGACTGGTTAACTACAGTGTCAGAGGATTTAAAAAACCTTTGTATCTCTTTGAAT